GTTTTGCCAACCCTATATGTGGGACCATGCTCCCAGTCTATGTAGCACCGATACCCATACGGAACACGTGACACGATACGACATGACACTCCGACACATTAATTCTAAAAAATGTTAGATTTCGACACGCTATGACACGTTTTGATATTAAATAATATTTTTAATTTATGTAATGTATATTATATTTAATATTCAATAATTTAACAAAAAAATGAATCTAAACTTATAATATTTATAAATTTTGCAAAGAAACATAACATATCTCAAATATTTATATTAAACTCAATAAAATGATAATCGTAATCCAATGAATCTAATAGTTGGAACTAAAAACTCAACGCAAATCAACCTTTGAACCTTTTTTTGAATTTCTATAACGCGTATTGGAGTGTCGGGGAGTGTCGGAGTGGCCGAGAGTGTCGGGAAGTGTCGCACACGACACGTCAGGGTTTTTGAAGTGTCGGTGCTTCATAGCTCCCAGTTATCCGAAATACAGCTGTTATGCTGTCCGTGAGACTCCGTCAGGAGTGACACTTGATGTCATATCTTGATGGTCAATGGCCACTAATAGTGGCTCATGGGATTAATTAGTAGATGTATGTTTAGATTTACGCTTTCGCAGTATCTCATGTGAACGTTTTTAGAAATGTTTTTATAAAATGTTTTGGAAAAAGTTTACTAGTATTTTTATAAGACGCTTTATTCTTTTTCAAATAAAGTCTTCCGCTAAGAATGTTAAATATCATGTATGTTAACAACCGGAGTATTACTGGGTGTTACACCATGGAGCTTAATCAAAGCTCAAAAACATCACATTTTTGAGTGATTTTCATCACAAAACAACCCAGAAAATATAAACCAACAATATTCTAAATTCTAGACAGCATGTTTTTGAGAGCTTTTAGAAGTTTAAAAAATAATTTTTCAAACTATGGATCACGATTTTTCTTGGTACAAAAAGGTATGATCTTTGTATTAAAAATAACATAAAACCCTCAAACCAATTTTCATTTTACATCAATGAAACAAGATCAATTTAAATAAAGGTTGAAACTTTCATAAAGTAAACCCTATATTTCATAATAATACATTCATGAACGAAATTCCTTCATTATAGAAAATGATTTCAAACAATTTTTGTATCAATAGATAACTAAAAATTTGTTTTTCAAAAGTCCCAAAACAATTTAATGAATACTCAAAAATTCAGGTTTTATTGTATCGATTGAAAATAATTTGAAATTTTTTCTAAACTTTCATGTAATAAAACCTAGGAATTCGTATTCGAATTTTTCTTAGAATACTCAATGAAAACATGCCTATGATATATGGTTTGAAAACTCTTATCACGTAAAACAAAAACTCCAAGGTTTCCAAGATCAATTGCAAAAAATTCCAAATGAAATTTTATCATGAACTTTAGGTCCTAATGTAAATTTAGAATTATTTTAATAAATAAATAAAAATTGCGTCTTATAATAATATATGCATAGCTCTGATACCAGATGAAGAAGATAATTTTTAACTCATTAGTCAAACCCAAGAGCATGGACGAGAAAATGTTAATGCATGGAGGACTAGTATAAATAAAAATATGGAGAGTTGTTGCTAAGTAATTTTGAATGTTTGGATAATATGTTTTATTGATTAAGAAAATTATATTAGGTTTTATTTTTTATTAATATCATTGTATTTATTTATTATTTTTTTATTGACTCTTGTAATTTTGAATTTTTTTTTTTTAAATATTCCAATCGGTTCATTGCTTCGCAACTAATCCGATTCGGGACAGTTCCAGGATTAAGGCTTTAAACCCTCCCAAAGGTGGTACTAGGGAGATTCGAACACATGCTCTCACCCCCACCTGCTTGGGTCCTATGCGCCAACTGAGCTACCATCATTTGATGTAATTTGAATGTTTGTTAAAAATTCATATAGTTTTTTTAAAATCTTATAAATTCATATTATCCTTTCAAATCTTATAAATTCTATTAAATTCCTTTAAAATCCAATCTTATAAAATCTTGATTATAAAAAATGTCTTTAAAAAAGTTTTTAAAGTCCGTCTAATTCTAAATAGTTTTTTAAAATGTATAGAATTTTTTATCTCAATTTTTTTTTTTCAAAATCCTAATCCAATACATTGGGGGGGGGGGGCGTTTGGTTCGCAATATTTTTCAAGATTCTCGGGAAATTGAATTTTTTTAAATTTTTAATTTTCAGATATTATCGTAAACTGAATGTAAAAATTATATTTTTAAAAATTGAAATTTTCAGATAAAAAAAAAAATTCTCCTCTAACAAACGGTTAAAAAAAAAATGGAGACGTGAAATAGAATAAATTAGTGAAGTATAGGATGGAGTATTGACCAAGTGGACACTGACAAGACGTTCTCTACGGCGCGGTACATCTCCGAGGAGGCCTTCACGCGATACTGTTCGGTGTGTGATGCTGCTGCTAATAGCCCTATACCCTAGCCATGCCCCATAATATAATCCACAGCATCAACACTAGTACTTGACTACTTGTTTTGCTGCTTCTCAGTAATCCATCCCCAATGTCTCTCCTTTTTCTCATCGCCTTTGCCGCCTTAGTTACATTACACCTACTCCCAAATTTGTACTATTCAATTTTCAATTGGTCACACAATACCAACATAAAAAAAATCACTTCATCACACCAGATTTTTCTTCAGCAAAACGTTGTATCATCATTATTATAATCAGATTAGATTAGGTTTTGTCATTATCATTTTTATTTTTAATATTTTTTATAATAAAATTAACGATTCCTTTTTTATCTTTTCTTTATATCACATGAGGTAATATTTTTCATGTTATAGATACAACAAGTGATGAAAAAATTATCTTCTATTATATAAAAATAATAATTTTTCTAAAATTAAATGGCTATAATTAATTAAAATAAATAAATAATGGCTTTAAATTACTATGGGTGTTCGCGATCTGAATTGGATCGGTTTTTGAAGCAAAATCATCCGATCCAATCCCTTCGGTTTGATCATATAATCTTCCATTCGGTTTTGATTTTTTTCAAATCCGATCCGATCCAATCCAATCCAATTTTTTTCGGTTTGGATTGGATCGGTTTTCGGTTTTTTGAAAATCTTAAAATTTATTTCATGATTATTGTGCAAATAACATCTTTTGTATATATTGGCTTTGTAAATTTTTTTTTTAAAATACAAAAGCATTAGTAAACTATAATATAATTTTTTTAATTTTGGCAATGAGATATGAAACTCTAAAAAGATAAAATTTTGTTGATGAGATATGACTAGATTTTTTCTTGGGTTTAGTTGATAGGTTAATGACTCTTGGATTTAGAAATTTTTAGGCTATGATTAGGGAAATACTCAAGTAGGTAGAGGGAAATTAATATATTGGATCGGTTTGGATTGGATCGGTTTTCATCAACCCATCCAAAAATTGATCCAATCCAATTAAAATTTGCGGTTTTTAATCGGTTTTCAGTTTTTCGATTTTCGGTTTATTCGGTTATCAATTTTTCGGTTCGGTCACTGCGGTTTGAATCGGTTGATGAACACTCTTATATAATACTACCAAAACGAGAGATGGTCACAAGAAAATTTTCCACATCACCCTTGGTAGTTGGGCGAGATTTTTTTTATTTTTCGTTTATAAAATTTTAAACCAATTAAATTAATTAAGAAAAAAAAAATATTTTAGTTGATTGAATAGTTCAAATAATGAGGTTAGAATGTTAGATTTTGGTTGCTTGTTCAGAGGTAGCAATAGTACCTCATCTCAGTGTTATTAACCCGGACTGAACCCGAGAACCGGTGAATCGGTCATATAACTGATCCGGTTGATGTAACGGACCGGCCATGCATTAGAATCGGTGTGACCCGGTCTGTCCCGGTCGGTTAACCGGTGACCCGGCCTGGTTTAAAAAAAAAATCAAATTATTTATTTTTTCAAAAATAAATAAATCATAATAGACATATTTGAATATTTTTTTTCTTATTGACTTACATAAGTTATGTACTTACAACACTAATATTATCTCAATTATGCACTATTCAGGAAATTTTGATTTGATTTATAGTTAGAGATGTCATTTTCTGAACCTAAAGTCCCGTATCACGATCATTATATTTTTGTTTGATCTTTTTTTAGATAATAATATGTGATTTATTATTTTTTATATTAAAATATTTGAAATTTTAATCATTTTTTTAGATGTTTGAGTATGCTTATAATTTTTTAATATAAATCATAAAAATACATATAATTACATGATCATGCGGTTGAACCAATGACCCACTGACCCGGTACCTCCACCGGGTCAATGACCGGGCCGGTTTTAATAACATTGACTCATCTTGTCTCCGAGTTTCTTCAATTGTCAGTTGTCTTAATTTTTTTTTGAGAAAATATTTTTTTGCCTAATAAAATATATGATTTTCTTTTTCATTTCTTATAAAAAAAATAGTCAATTTTTTGTTCTTTACAATTCTAATTCTTTGAAAATGTGATTTCTCAAAAATTTAATTTAATCCCTCAAAAAAGAGTAACATAAATATATTTTTTTATAAGAAACAAAAGTAAAAATAATATTTTTTATTAGGAATTTAAAAAAAAAACTTTCCTCATTTTTTTTTTATTCCCTCGAAATCGTGGAAGCCATCCTCTTACGATCAATTTCCGTCAAAGACATTTTGCCACTCAGCAGTGTCCACATGCCTTTGTCTAGTTTCCCCACGTGTCAGGCGATGATAGATTCTGCTCCCTCTTATCCACTGTATCCTCAGTGCAGGTAATCATAGCCCCTCAATCCGCAGAAGGTATGTTAGACGAGTCAATCATAATCACAAATCATAATTCTCAACCAACGTCCTCGTATTTAAAAACTTTAGAGAGGGCATCCAAATTGCCACTCCATCGGTTTTCGTCTTTTCTCCACCTCACTCTTCACTCCCTTTTTCCATTTCTTTTTCTTTCTTTCCAATAGCCACCTCATCTCACCGGAAAAACTCTCTCCGGTTCCTTTTACCTCACGCCACTTCATCTTCTCACCCATTAATAGGAAGAAATATATCATCACATATTTATTACCATTAATCGAAGTCATTTTTTATTTTTATATTACTTAGTATAATTACACTTTGCCCCTTCCATTCACACTTCATATTTTTATTTTCTTTGTATATATATTTATTTATTTACTTCTAATCTTCTTCCTAGACGTAACCGTTTTTATCCATCGCTGAACTCATGCGAATTCCGCTTGGATAATTTCCCGCCTCAGTTCCATGCTTCGGGTGGTGATCGCCACCGCCTTCCTCCGCCGCCACGTCACCGCCGTCGAATTCAACGATTTGGCAGTTAGTCCCCGGTGCTAATACAAATTTTCCACATGCATCCTTTCTGCTGCGTCTCCGCCATTTCCGACCAGGCCTCCCCAGTCAAACCCTCGTCCACTCATTTCTCCGACTTCGCCGTGCCTCCGCTTCCCACCGCCGCCATTAGATCCGTTTCGATTCCCCGGCACATGAACAACCACAACCACAACCACATCCGCAATCAGAGTCACAGCAGCAATCACTCCATCAGCAACAGCGAGCACGGACGCGTGAGTCAGCGGGAGCAGCCGGTGGTGGTGGACGTCAAGATAAATGACCTCGTCGGCAATGGAATCTCCGGTATACTCTACAAGTGGGTCAATTACGGGAAAGGATGGAGGCCTCGATGGTTCGTCCTTCAGGACGGCGTGCTCTCCTACTTCAAGATTCACGGACCTGATAAGATCACCGTCAATCACGAAACCGAGAAAGGCTCCAAGGTTATCGGCGACGAATCCATGCGGAGGATTGCTCGCAACCGCAACTCTTATCCCTATCAACACCGACGAAAGCCCTTTGGAGAAATCCATCTCAAGGTTTCTCTATTTGTTCCGCTGTTTCTATTGTTTTATTTCGATATTTTTCTTGTGTAATATAATTTCAGTTTCCGCTGTGTAATTTAATCTTGTGCCCCTCTCTGGAATTAGTTTATATAGGGAATTTTAATCTCTCATTTTGATGTGTTAGTATCTTCCAATCCGTGATTTCATTGTTTTTCTGTAGGTTTCAACGATTCGCGAGAGCAAATCCGATGACAAGCGATTTTCCGTTTTCACTGGAACGAAGAGACTCCACTTGAGAGCCGAGACACGTGAAGATCGAGTGGCATGGATGGAGGCATTGCAGGCAGTGAAAGACATGTTCCCCCGGATGTCCAATAGTGAGTTGATGGCTCCGGTGGACAATGTAACCATTTCAACTGAGAAACTGAGACTTCGACTTGTGCAAGAAGGAGTAAGCGAAGCAGCCATCCAGGACAGTGAGCAAATTATGAGAAGTGAGTTTGCAGCGCTACAAAACCATCTTGTTCTGCTTAAGCAGAAGCAGTCGATCCTAGTCGACACGTTACGGCAATTAGAGGTGAGGTACATCTCTCGTGAAAAGTAGAAAACTTCATGCCAATCAAACTGGGGGTTCTTCTTTGAATGCTCATTCTTAATCTCTGTAAAATCTCATATTTATCCGGTTCTTCAATTTTGACCCCTATTTTTAAGGGGTCACCGTATATAATTTCTCAAGTTGTTATCCTTGGTTATACTTTTGTATGTTTACGGCCAAAAGTCAAAACATATTGGCTTCTTTCTGGTTTCTAGACTTCACTGGAGAGAAGGGCAATTGTAAGTTGTAACCAATAAATTGTTGTAAAATTCAGTCAGTCTTTCCCACTAGTATTATGTGAACACAATCAGTTCCACATCTTGTATTCAGAATTGGTTTCTCCAAAATGTAAATCTTAAATATGTAAAGTACGAAGTTAAGTTTAATGGGTAGTTAATATGAGGTTTCAAAACTCCTTTATTGTCTCTTTATTCTTGTGGACTTTTAAGACCATGTTACTAGCAGAATCCCCGCATAAATTATATCTTCAACTTATTGTGTATCTGTTCAACTGAATGCTCTTTATATAAATTTGTATAAGCTGAAGTGAGACACTGTCATCAGGCATATGTCTCTTGTGTTCATTTATCTTGCTCTAAAATGTTTCTTCTCGTTAAAAGCCATGCAAGCGATCAACTAATGCTAAAATGCTATACCTAATTTTCAGTGTTCTTAAATATTTTTAGGTACATATTAATAGATTAAGGTTTATTTTCCCCCCTCATTTGTGTCCTGCAAGTGTGCCTTCTTGAGTGAAAACCATAATGTCTTTTATCCTGGCAGACAATATTGCGCAGACCTGGAATTATCTTGCTTCATGGTGAAGAGCTGGGTAGGTTCTTAATAGGATGAATCTTTTTATTATCATTTTTTTCTGATTAGATCTATTTAATCCTTCCTTGGTTATAAGGTTATGGGCTTATGGCCATTAATTTAAATCCATTGAAACTTTTTCATGGTTTCCACCTTGTTTAACAAAAAGGTTTCATTTATCCATGGATAGTTTATTGTTTATTTATTTATTATTTTTATAATGCTGCTTTCTCTTATTGTTTAACATATTGATTAAGGATAAATTTTTATCTTAATGTGTATTGATAAACTTATTATTTAATTACATTATTCTAGACAGAAAAGGTTGATCTGGAGAATACAGTTGTTGATGAGAGCCAAAGGCAGTGGAACGATCAAGAGGCTTCTTTTAGATTAACGCAAGAAAAATTTAGCGGTAAGGTTTTGTTTAATGGGATCTTCATTAGGCATTAGTTCTCCAATATGCTTAACAGTCAAAGTCTAGTTGTAGCTCAGTTTTTATGGCCTCCCCCTATGTTGACCATTATTAAGACTTGAGACATTTCTGCATTAGAAGGAAGGTTAATGTAGATATGCCATTGGTTTAGTGATGCATTTTCTTGAAACTTGGAAGTATTTACGTATCACTATCTCTGATACACTGGTCCCCCTTCTTTCCATTACTTTTTTCTGAACTCTTTCCATCTCATTTTTTCAACAACAAAAAAAAATGTTATATTCAAGTAGTTTATATGCTTTCTACTCATACCTGCTAATAAACTGTTACTACCTAATTGTGCCTTTTATAATTCTTTATTTCATTTTCCTATTTTTAATTCAGAAGGCAGTGCAAGTGAATCTGAGGATGATAATGAGAGAAATGATGCTGCAGAGGAAGAAACAGATGATGATGACAATGCCTTTTTTGATACTCGAGATTTTCTGTCATCCAGTTCTTTTAAAAGTAACGGGTCTGACTATAGAGTATCATCTCTCTCTTCAGATAATGATGGGCTCTGTGCATTTGAATCAGAGGAGGATGTTGATCCTTCAATTAGATATGTTGGAGCCAACTACCCTCTTGTTAAGCGGCGTAAGAAATTGCCAGACCCTGCAGAAAAAGAGAAAGGTGTTAGTCTTTGGTCAATGATTAAGGATAATATAGGGAAGGATTTAACAAAAGTTTGCCTTCCTGTTTATTTTAATGAGCCTCTCTCCTCGCTGCAAAAATGTTTTGAAGAAATGGAGTATTCATATCTGCTTGACCAAGCATATGAATGGGGAAGAAGGGTAAGTCTTGATTTGACTGACAGGTCTCTATTGCTCTGCCATATAAAGGCAAATTTGAGTGCTTTAATAGAATTGTTTCATTTGATATGAGAAAAATTTCACGCTATTGAGTTATTCTGCTGCCAGCTCTTTCAATGCAGTATTGGGTGCTTTCTTCCCATTTAACTAATTCGAGATTCGGTGCAGGGCAATAGCCTCATGAGGATTCTCTATGTCGCTGCTTTTGCTGTATCTGGCTATGCTTCAACTGAAGGAAGAATTTGCAAACCATTTAATCCATTACTTGGGGAAACGTATGAGGCAAACAATCCAGACAAAGGCCTTCGTTTTTTCTCAGAGAAGGTCTAATCTATCCCTAAGTAGGGATGTTATTAATATATTACCTTTTTTTCAACTCAATCAAACCACGGCGATCTTTTCTTCTTCTTTGGACTTTCCTTCTGATTTCACCCTAATTTATATATCTATCAAAGGGGTTGGGCTATTGGTTTCTTTGAAAAATCTATTGTTTTGTAGATTTTTTTTTATTTTTTTTGAGGTCATAATGAGAATTATTTGAATCATTTATTTGATGAAAATAGTATGTAATAATTCTAACACATTTGAATTCCTTGCAACCACTTGCTTCTGTCTGAAGGAACAGTTTCCAGATATGGAGGACCATAATTTTAGAAACTACACCTTTTATTTCATGAATAAATGGTGTAATTGGGTGCATTACTTCTGTAGAACCCTATTAACACAATACTATTTGGATTTTGGTGTCAACAAGTGATGCAATTCTGCTTTTTTTAATCTATGTTCCCTATTTGAAATTATTAATATTTCTGCTTCCTCTCAGGTCAGTCATCACCCTATGATAGTTGCATGTCACTGTGAGGGTACAGGTTGGAAATTTTGGGGGGATAGCAACTTAAAGAGCAAATTTTGGGGCCGATCAATTCAACTTGACCCTATCGGTATTTTGACTTTGGAATTTGATGATGGGGAAGTTTTCCAGTGGAGCAAGGTAAATTTTAACTGCTTCGAACTGAAATGATGCCCTGGTTTCGTTTTAAACCGAAATGGACTTGTTCTTTCAGGTTACTACATCAATATACAATCTAATATTGGGAAAGCTATACTGTGATCACTACGGTACAATGCGTATACAGGGAAACCGAGAGTACTCGTGTAAATTGAAATTCAAGGAACAATCTATTATTGATCGAAATCCTCACCAGGTACTTTATATCTGCTGCCTGGATTCTATTATTTTATTTTATTTCAGATATAAGATATCCTTTAGCTATGATATTAAATTGCCCTTCCTCTTTGGTTTGTATAAGGCATAGTTTTCTTACTGTATAGACTTCATATGCACGCACATTTTGCACCAATGCTCAGATTTCTGTTGAGATAAATAACGAGGTCTTTGCTATTAGATGGCCTTTTGATTTGCCATCTTGCCATAGTACCTTTTTTTTTTTGGATACATACTATAGTACTTTATATGGGATATATTTTTCTTATGTTGTAAGAAAAAAACTACCTCATGTTGTAGAAATAAAAGTATAAGTGGGACCCATAGGTAAGAGGAGAGAGAAAAAAGAGTGGTGGGACCCAATCCCTTTTTGTGTGTGTAGGAGAGTTGTTTTTCTCTTGTAAAATGAGATAAACATAACCCACTTTATATATATGAAATTTTGTTTCACTGGGTTCTCTCTTCTTATTGTGGTTTGCCTGCGTTTTTAGGTTCATGGTATCATTCAAGACAGGAATGGAAAAACAGCATCAACTTTGTTTGGAAAATGGGATGAAAGCATGCATTATGTTAATGGAGACTACACTGGGAAGGGGAAAAGTCAGGAATCTTTGTCGGAAGCCCATTTACTCTGGAAGAGAAGCAAGCCTCCCAAGTTTCCCACTAGATACAACTTCACTCGCTTTGCCATCACATTAAATGAACTAACACCTGGATTGAAGGTCTGTTTTGTTGACTGATTCTGTCTTTTGTGTTGCCACTCTAATTTGAAGATACTTTTTTTAAAGAAAAAAATATTCCAGAAAAGAAATAAATATTTTCTGTTTTTTCTAGTGCAATTTTGTTCTTGCAGAGGGGAGGTTCTCTGTGTGTCAGTGTTTGTGTGTTTTTGGCATTTTATTGGATATTGATTATCATTTTAATTTGTGAATACATAGGAGAAGTTGCCACCTACAGATTCCAGGTTAAGACCAGACCAAAGGTATTTGGAAAATGGGGAGTACGAAATGGCAAATTCAGAAAAGTTACGGCTAGAGCAGCGGCAACGCCAGGTCCCTATCACGTTTTCTTTGCTTTTATGGTTTCACTTTTAGCTTAACACTCAGATAGATCTGAGTAGGTTTTGGTGCTGCATATCCTTCTAGAATTCATGAAATCTGACATAGTCATCAAATATCTACTCCTTGTGGAATTGAGTTAACAGGGCATATGCCACAAGTTTAGAATTTCAACGCAAGACATTTTATTTTATTTTTTATAAACGCAAGAAATTTTTTTCCCAATGCTGTTTGATCTCACCTGTTAAGCCAACCGGCATTGGCAGGCTACATTTTTATAATTTCGTAAATAGGAAATATCCTATGATACATGTTATTACATGACGTGGTAGAATTTGTAACTTTTGATGTTTTTGTAATACTTTCTCCAAATCCTCAAATTTTTTATTTAAACCCTTTTTTGAAATTCTAGTTGATAGTTGATTCCACTTTTCTTGGTGGAATTGGTATCCCTGGTTAGAGTATTAAAAATCCACTTGATTATGATTACTAAAGTAACCAAACATAGTGCAAAGGGGAGAGAAAATGCTATTTAGGTCAAGGATATCAGCATCATGATTCCTTTTGTCTATGGAATGGTTAGAGTAGATTGTTTTCGGTTGAATAATCTCTGTTTTTGAATTCTCTTGCATGCAGAGCAATTTTATATGTGATGCCAGTAGTCAATTTTTTTCTTTCTAGTTTAAGAAAGGACTCCTCATGAGGAAATATAAGGGGGTTGTTTTACCATCTTTGTTAGTTTTGACTGTATCACCTCTATCAGTGCTATAGCATATGCTCTTTGTTATCAATTGATGGCTCATTGTAGGGGATCGGACCTTTGAGCACATATTAGATGAGGGTAGAAAATGTTCACAAGGGGTCTTTCTGGGGAGGATATTGGAGTAACTGATATGCTACTAGATATCCTTATTTGATAAGCAATTGATTGATCTAATTTTTGTTTGAATGGGATTCAGGCTCGGAAGATGCAAGAGCGGGGTTGGAAACCACGGTGGTTTGCTAAGGATAAAGGGAGCGAGACATACCGCTATATAGGAGGGTATTGGGAGGCTCAAGAACAAGGAAAGTGGGACTCCTGTCCTGACATCTTTGGCCAAATTCCTTCGGATCATCTTTCTGACGAAGGCCAAGTTACATTTTAGTTTTTCAAATTTTTTTCCTCCAAATTTTTTCCTGATGGGTGTCCAATGACTGCTAGTTCGTAGTTAATGGTACATCCATGAAATTCATGTTAGTCAATCAGATGAAAATATGAGCGAGTAATAATGTAATTCTTTTTCTTTATTCCAAGTCTATTCGCATAATCCTTACTATTTGGTACATAAATAATCAGTATTGTTATTATTGTCTTATATCATAATGACAGACATGCATAAAATAATCAGAACATGACGGCATGTACGGAAGCAAAAAGCTATTTCCCCAAGTCCATGAACATTGCATGGCTAGGTGGAACTTTTTGGACAAGCAGTTGCATGTTTCGATAAGAACTAAATGTGTGCGAAAATCACGTAAGCAGGTTGCTGAAGAACAAATAACGCGACCATGACCCATCTCCATTGCTGGCTTCCATCCTTGATGTTTCAAAGTAACCATAACCCCAATTTCAAAGCCTGAATCACTGTCATCACGATCTTGCATTCACACTAACTTTCTAAAGCCCAATGGCTCCTGATTCATCTCTAAGATGTCTGACGTTTTAGACCCCCTCGGATCTGGTGCTTCGCAATGATAGAAAGAGTAATATTGTTGTCCGTGCACCTTATTTTGTGCGGTTGAAATTCGTAAACTCTGATTAATTGCTTTTCAATAACCGATAATGCACAATACCCAATTTTATGAAAGTAACTGAAGATGAAAGGAAATGCTTAGAATGCTAAGTGCTAACTCTTTACAGATGGGACCTAGTGTCTGGTGAAACAAATTTTATGGACAGTTTTCAATCAGATTAATTTGATATTGACCTATGCTGAAATTGTTCACTACAAATTTATAATGTTGATGGACCTATGCTGAAATTGTTCACTACAAATTTATAATGTTGATGGTCTATGTAGTTGTCAGGGTTTTTGTCCTAGTCCATTTACACTGACAGGACAAAAGCCTTCTCCTTGCAAAACCCGTTCTGAGTCAGATCAAATAAGAGGACTTTTTCATAAAAATAAAAAATAAAAAAGCATAAGATTAAATCTCCAAAAAAATTGTTTTCAAACAGCAATTATTCAGTTCAAATAATTCTTATTTTAATGTTTTCCCGAGATTTCTTGTCGGTGAACCCCTATTTCAATTTTTACAGATATGAGTGTTATTATTTTAATTCTATCAAATATAAAAATGACATTAACTTAGTCTTTTAAAAAATATTAAATTTGTCCCTCAATAATATAAGATTAATAAATTTAATTTCTCAAAGATAAAAAATTATATCAATATAATGTTTCAGAAGAATTAAATTAATAACAAAAAGATTTTGAACAATCAAAATGATGATAGTTATGTATTATAAATGAGTAAAATATGTTTTACTCGTTTCTTTTTCACATGGATTTTGAGGGATTTAAATACGTGTCGGTAAAAAGTCCAGCACTGAGACGTACCAATTCGCATCTTTTGTCGTCCTAATGAGACGTATTTTACCTTCCTTCTGTTTTCTTTTCTCATTTAATTTTTTTTTTTTTTTTGAAAAATTTTTCTCATTTAATTTGAAATGTTAGTTATTGGTTATAAATACAGTAGAGGATAAGTTATTCTCTTCCTACGAAGGTGAACTTGTTCGTCTTAAGTTAAGTCTCAACGAGATTAATAATAATAATAATAACAGTAATAATAATAAATAATGGAAAATATTTTCTCATGTTGCATAAGAATTTAATTCTCATATTGTGACCCTTCGATTTACCGATTCCGACCTTGGACCACCAACGTCGGAATACAATGAGGACGAACTCCAAGAAAGAGGAATGGAGCTATCTAAACTACTGACAAGGTCGACAAACGAGACCCGACTCGTTGCAGAGTCTTTTAGGAAGGAAGGGGTGACCGACTTAGGAATATCCAGCTCGGTCGAAGAAAGGCTGGAGGAGCTAGCGCCCAAATCAAGAGGAGGAATCCGGTCCAGAACGGACCTCGTACCCGAAGCCACCCCAGAGGATGGCAGAATATAGGACAACGGAACTGGTTTAGGGGAGGAGTTCAGTTTGGGAGCTGAAGGATTCACTGAGGGAGGATTGCTCATGCCAAAGCTAAGCCGTGGCTGACGACCCCCTCTAGGTCGACTTGCTCCCCTCCTACCTCGGCCTCCGCGAGAATCACGATGGCCCCCACGGGGACCACAGAGAAGCTGTTGAAGCTTCTCCTCCTCGGTGTATTCCCTACCAAAGAAACAGTATTGGACAGAACGAGGCAAATGACTCACCGCCTCTCCCCCCCTGGCTGGGGTGCCGGACTAGAGGAAGAACTAGGGGCACTCATCATGAACCCTCAACACTTCAAAGAGGAAAGTGTAAACCTCACCTTTGGTTCCAAACAGAAGAAACTACACAATGCAACCTAACCCAACCGAAAAATGGAATGATTTGTAAAAGCAAAATAAACATAAAGGTACCTGAACTTAGGAGCAAAGATGGAGAGAACTAGACTCAATGTATGGAAACCTTCACTGGAAATAAAGAGAGCTCCAAGAGAGTTTAACACGCGAAGAACTGTAAAGTCTGGAACCCGTTTTGAAATATGGTATTTAAAGGGCGACGAATGACTTGGGCGCGAAGGTGAAGGGTTTTTCTTCAAACGGTTACGTGAGGGGGGTAAAAAGGGGATTTTACCCTAGATGCATTAAATGCACCCCATCATAACTTGCGCAAGTTAAAGCAGTACGCCCTGCACGATGCACGAACTACCAATGAGAGCAAAACACGTGGATAGCCATAACCGTCACAGCAGACGTGATACGAAGGGTCAGGATAAGGCCCAGCCCCGAGTTCCGTGATCAAGTAGCGCCTGGATTTCAGGTAGTCCATAACTGAAGATCGTAACATGTCCCGATGCGACAACTCGGCTAGCATGAAGAAAGATAAGTGCCAAAAAATTTAGGCAATATCCGACATGATCAAATCCGACTTCAAGTGCAAACCTCATGCAAGTATAGCGAGCATAATCTTGACAACTCGACCAGGTTAAAGTGTCGAAGTCAAAGTCTCGGAAATCCAAATACAAAGAACAGACTCGGATTAATCAAATCCATGGTGACATAACGGAACCTCGGCATCCCGAGCCCCGGAATACCGAGTTGGGGGCAACTGTTATGGCTATGCACATCATATCCCAACTACCTACTAGAATATCTGGTGAGATATGGAATCAGCAACATCTCAACAACTCCAAACAGCCAAAGGGTATAAGATAAGGATCACATCCCAACAGAAGGAGGTGAAATCCTACTACAATTGGGGGAGATCAACAGGCACAATCCTAGGAAGGTAATCCTATAAATAAGAGCCTAAGGACCCCAGGTAAACACTCAGAACTCATTTACTACTTTCACCCACGCTGTGCACACACCCACGCCTTGGCTATAAGCCTATTGTTTGTGCGCAGTGATTGGGACCTCGGCTATAAGCCTAGTATACAGTTGATATACACTATCTCTGAGCGCATATCTTACGGTATAACAATACGGTCTATCCAGGACCTAACACGTGTAAAGTTTTTTTTTCTTTTTAATAAATGTGGAGTCCACCATTAGTTGAGTCACAACATTCTCATGCAACATAAGAAAACTAAACCCCTGATAATAAATTCCAAACAAGAATTACTTAGTATCCCTCTTATAAGAGTGAAGTTAATGTGCTCCCGGACCAAAAAAGGTTTGGTGGGATTGGGACGAGAGAAATAGAGAAAAAATTGATGAGAGAGGAGAGAGAAAAAAGAAAAAAAAATTAATTCAGGTGTCAATTTTAAGTGGAAGGACCATAATGATCCTGGACCACATTAAAAAATTCCCTGTTACAAGGGGTGTGTGTATATATACAGACACACAAACACATATGTACAAACTTCAAAATTATGCCTTGTCTGGAAGTCCTTGTGCAATTATCATATTACTGGTCTCTAAGACATGGGCCTTCTATTCATCTATTTCATGTGCTTGGGTGAGTGGGTGTCAAACTGGCCCCAAATCACGTATCGTCTCAGCACTTGTGGGAAATTAATTCCAAACAAACATAAAAAGATGTAATAATTTGGCGTACCTAAATTTTGGCAGAATGTGTTACGTACGACATTCATGGACTCACATTATTGAATGTTTTTTTTCTCTGTGACTGGAGAATAACAGTTATAAGCTGGGCTTATAATTGCCTACAAAACGAGTGTAATGGGACCATAACTATGCCCATGTAGGCCCAATTTCACGGACATATGGTTACTGATGAGTGCCGGCCACCCAAAGCTACCTTCCAATTGAAAGCAAATGGACAAAATATTTAAACATTTCCTTCTCTTTCCTGTTTATATTTTGGAAAATAATTATTTCATATTGCATCAGATAATTATCTCATGCAACAAAGATAAGTTAATAAAAAAATAATGGATCCCACTATCTTTGTTGCATGAGATAATTATCTCATTCATCATGAGATATATAGATCCCTTATATTTTACTATCTTTTTTTAGGTGCATTTTACTCATAACATTTGATTAGTACAATTTAGTCTATAATCTATTTGAATGTACAGTTTTTCCACTTTCATTATACATCTCACTTTTCAGGTCTTCAAATTTGTAGGATGTTGTTAGGTAGAAGTAAGGGTGAAAGTGGGCTGGGCTGGGCCAAGCTTTGTCTCGAAAAACCCAAGTCTATGCCAAAATTTTTTAACTTGGCCTGGTCCAAGTTTAATACGAGCCTAATTATTAGTCTGACTTGACCCGTTTATAAAAAACAAATGGCCTGGCCTAACCTGTTAGCTTGTTAATTTTTAATTTTCAAACAGAATCATGAATCAACTTCACAAAATACTCAAATTCTGTTGTTAAACCAAAAATCGCAATTTCAACGTCCAAACAGAATCATGAATTACAACAAAACTTGTCACAATCTGTATTTAAGTCACTTTCAAAAGCAAAATGCTGAAACTAATTAACATATTTCATGAAATCCAACAAACAAATTCATAATATGTAAATTAAAATAACTACATGAACCCAACAAACACATTATGAAGCTTGTAGTAAGTATAACTTTTTCCAAAAAATTTA